TTTTTTTTTGGTACCGGGGATCGAACTCGGGTCCTTGCACTTGGGCAGCAGGCGGTGAAACCACTGAGCTAAATCCCCAGCCCTACCATTTTTAAGTGTATGATTTAATGGCATTGATTACATTTACAGTGTTATATAACCACCATTTCCACATACCCCCAAACAAAAATTAGAACCAAATCAAGTTCATTGGTTAGGTTGATTAGTTAGGTTTTCATTGGTGTATTAGTTTTTCACTACTACAATGAAATAATTGAGGTGAGATAACTTTATAAATAAATAAAGGACCTTCTAGGGAAATTTGATTTGGTTCTTGTCCAATTCAGTTTGCGACCAGAATCATGGAAAGAATTATGTTTGTGAACCAACGTACCACTGTAATAACTTCTCATTTTCCTCTACTCCCAGGACCTAGTAACCACTAATCTATTATCTGTCTCGATGACTTTGACTACTCTAACTACCTCATATAAGTGAAATTATATAATTTACCCCCTTTTTTCTTGCTTATTTCACTTGGTATACTATGTTCAGGTTTCATCCATGTTGTATCACATGTCAGACGTTATGGCTGAGTAATAGTACATGATATACATATAGCACATTTTGTTTATTCATCTGGTGTTTCTGGCTTTGTTTATTCATCTGGCTGTTGTGAATAAAGCTGCATTGAACATTGGATACAAGTAAGTATCTTTTTTTTTTTTTTTTTTTTTTGGTACTGGGGATCGAACCTCCGGTCCTTGCGCTTGCGCAGCAGGCAGCAAAACCACTGAGCTAAATCCCCGGCCCCAAGTAAGTATCTTTTTTTGAGTCTCTGCTTTCATTTTTTTGTTTAGTTTTTTTTAGGAACTGCCATATTATTTTCCACAGCAGCACCTTTTTTTCTTTTCTTTTCTTTTCTTTTCTTTTCTGGTTTTGTTTTGTTTTTTAAGACAGTGTCTCACTATGTAATAGACTGGCCTTGAACTTGCCATATTTCCCAAGGCTGCTCTTGTACTCAACAATCCTCCTTGCTTGGCCTCCTGAGTGCTGGGATTACAGGTGTGTACCATCACACCAGACTGAGCCTGTACCATTTTATATTCTTACTACCAATGCACTAGATACCAATTCCTCCACATCCTCACCAGCGCTTGCTTTTGTTTTATTGCTCTTATTCCCTCCTAGGAGGTGTAAAGTGATATCTTATGGTTTTGATTTACATTTCCCGAATGTCTAATGAGGTTGATGGCCATTTGTATATCTTTTTTGAGAAATATTTATTCAAATTCTTTGTTTTTAAATTGGGTTGTCTTTTTGTTGTTCAGCTGTAAAAGTTCTTTAATATATTCTGGATATTAACCCATTGTCAGGTATAGAAATTAGAAATATGTTCTCTCATTCTGTAAGTTCTTTGTTTGCTTTGTGATTTATGTCCCCCACCCCCACCCCCTTGTGGTACTGAAGATTGAATCCAGGGCCTATCCACTAAAGTATATCCTCAGCCCTTTTTCTTTTTCTTTTTTTTTTCTTTTGAGATAGGGTCTCACTAAGTTGCTAAAGTTGCCCAGGCTGGGCTTGAATTTGCCATCCTCCTGTTTCAGCCTCCCAGACTGCTGGAATTAGAGGCATATGCCATCATATGAAGTTTTTTAAAATTCTTTATTTTTCTTTATTTTTTTGTACTGGGGATCGAATAGGGACCTTGTGCTTTCGAGGCAGGCAGTGGAACCACTAAGCTAAATCCCCAGCTGTTTCTTTCATTTTTGAAAGTATTTTCATTGGTGTATTAGTCAGTTTTTCACTACTACAGTGAAACACTTGAGGTGAGATAACTTTATAAATAAAGTATGTTTATTTAGCTCACAGTTTGGAAAGTTCAAGGGCATGGTCCCTGCATCTGCTCAGCTCTGGTGAGGACCTCACCTCAGATGGTATTACAGAGGTGGAACACGTGTGAAAGGGAAAGATCACATGGCTAGATGGGAAACCAGAGAGTAGTTCAGTGGTCAGGCTCAGGCTTTTGTAAGAACTCACTCTTAGCAAGGTATGTTGGTGCATGCCTGTAATCCTTGCACTCTGGGAGACTGGGGCAGGATTGCAGCAAGTTCAGCCTTAGCCTGGTCAACTTAGTGAAATCTTGTCTCAAAATAAAAAATAAAAATGCTGGGGATGTAGCTCAGTGGGAAAGCCTTGTGTTCAATCTCAAATACTGGTGGGGGGGGCACAGTTTATAGGAAGTTATGTGCTGCTCCTTTGGTCAGTTTTACCAGTTTAAGGCTTGTTTTAAAGCTTTGTTAGTAACCTTTTCTTAGTTCAGTCCCACTGCTAAGTTACGGCTTTTTTATTGTTGGTAGTGCTCAACCCAGGGCCTTGAGCTGCTCTTTTTCTGTGTATCTCCCTCTCTCGAATTCTTCCTCACAATTTATAGCTGCCTTAATCTCCTTGAACTCTCTGCTCTCTGTCTTCAACCTGTAAGATTTCTTTTTTTTTTTTTTGGTACCGCAGATCAAACCTCGGGTCCTTGCGCTTGCGAGGCAGGAGGTGGAACCACTGAGCTAAATCCCCAGCCCATACCTGTAAGATTTCTATGCTTCTTGTAGCACCACATTGCCTGCACTAGAATGTGCCTCAGTACCCCATTCCGTGTGCTAGAGTGTGCCTGCAGGCAGAAAGCCAATGAGATAAGTAGGCCTCACTTCAGTTGTTTCTCCTGGGATCACAGGTCTGCTTTAGTTTTTGTCCAGTGTCTGAGACAGTTTACAATAGCAGAGTAAATTTGATCCGTTATTCCATCATGGCTAGAAACATAAGTGATAGCTATGTTAATATCCAACAAAATGAGACAAAGCATTGTTAAAGAATAAAGGGCCGGGGATTTAGCTCAGTGGTTCCGGTGGTCCAGAGTTCAATCCCTGGTACCAAAAAAACAAAGAATAACTTGACTCACTTTAAAAAATAAAACAGGGCATTGCTATGCGTTTCAGGCGAGCCTTGAGCTCACTATGTACCCCAGGCTGTGCTACCATAACTGGCTAACACACTTTATATTTGTTTGGGGTTTTTTTCGGTACTGGGGATCGAACTCGGGTCCTTGCGCTTGCGCAGCAGGCAGCAAAACCACTGAGCTAAATCCTCGGCCCAAACACACTTTATATTAATGAACTGTTCGATTTACTGGCAAGATACTACAGTTCTAAATGTGTATACCCCTAATGAAAGTGTTAAAAATAAAATATCTAGCCGTGGTGGCCAATGCCTGTAATCCCAGCACTCCAGAGGCTGAAGCAGAAGGATCACTGTGAGTTCAAGGCCAGTGTCGGCTACATAGTGAGACTGTCTCAAAAAAAACTAAATATATCAAAATAAAACTTAAAGGTGAAGTTGATATATTCAGTGTTGATAAATTAAGAAAAAGTAAAGCAGAAGAATTGAACAGTGGCATGAACAACTTGATTTAATGAACCTATGATATTCAGCACTCTGTGCATTATAATACAGATTCTCCTCAGGCACACATTGAACCAATAATTAAACAAAAAAAGCAACTCTAGGGCTAAGGATTTAGCTCAGTGGTTACGCCACCTGCCTCAGAAGCTCAAGGTCCCAAGTTTGATCCCTGGTACCAAATAAGTAATAAATAAATAAAGCAAGCAAGCAACTCTAAAAAAATTGAAAAGACTATCCAGGGTTGGGCATAATGGCAGTTACTTGTAATCATAGCACTCCAGAGATTGAGGCAGGAAGGGAAGGAGGTCCAGGCCAGTCTTGGCTTCATAGCATACTCAAGGCTGTCTTGGACTATATAGGAAGACCCTATGTCAGAAAACCAACAGGAGGGGGGCAGAACACAAACAAACATGTACAGGACTCTTTTTTTTTTCTTTGAGATAGGGTCTTGCTATGGAGCCCAGGCTGGTCTTGAACTCACTATGGAGCTCAGGCTAATCTTGAACTCACAGTAGTCCTCCTGCCTCAGCCTCCCAAATGCTGGGATTACAGGCATGTGCCACCACACATCTAGGACTCTTGACTATGGTGTATTTTATTAGAAATAAATAACAAAGTCCTTAGACATTACTAATTTTTTAAACTACTCCTGATTTCTTTAAAATATATGAAAATTAAGCCAAGCACGATGGCAAATGCCTGTGATCCTACCACTGAGGAGGCTGAGGAAGGGTATCACCACAATTTCAAGGCCAGCATGGGCTACCTAGTCCATGGTACATATAAAGCTAGTCTGAACTACATAGTGAGACACTGTCTCAAAAAAAAGCCCAAAATAAATAAAATATATAAAAATTAGATATTCAGAATTGAATTATAGTGATTTTAATTTGAAGGAAACTTATAAAGCCTTAGGTATTACAGAAGTACAATATAAGCATTAATGCATTACATACATGATTTTAGTTAGAGACTAGTACAAAGTACATAGAAATCATACAGTAGAGAGTACTAACAAAGCCAAAAGTTAGGAAAATATTAAAATAATAATTGACAAATTTCTGAAAATTCTTAACAAAATAGGACACAAATTAAAAACTAGGAATGAAAAATGAACATAAACACAGGCAACTAAACTGATTTTTTAAACAACATGAACAAAGCTAGATGTGGTGGAACATATCTTTAATCCCAGTACTCTGGGAGGCTGAGGCCAAACGATTGCAAGTTCAAGTCCAGCCTGGGCAACTCAGTGAGACTTATCTCAAAATTAAAAGGCCTGAGGATGTAGCTCAGTGCCAAGATCCTGGGTTCAATCCACAGTACCGCCAAAAAGAAGAAGAACATGGACAGTCCAAGTGCAGTGATACTCACCTGTAGTTCCAGCTACTGAGAACTATAGGCTGGAGAGTCTGAGGCCAGAGGATCACTTGAGTCCAGGGGTTCAGGGCCAGTCTGGGCAGCGTAGTGAGATGCTGTCTGGAAAAAGAATATGAACAATTTATGCCAATACATTTGAAAACAAGAGACAAATTCCTAGGATAACATAATTTACTAATACTCAAGTAGGAAGACTGGCTAGCTTTATAACCATTATATATATTGAATCAGTAGTAAAGAATATTCCCATAAAGGAAATACCTGCCCTGCCAGACATGGTGACATATGCCTGTAATCCTTGGGAGGCTGAGACACAAGGTTCACAATTTTGAGGCCAACATGGGCAATTTAATGCGAACTTATCTCAAAATTTAAAAATAAAATAGGCTGGGTTGTACTAATTAACCTGGGTTCAATCCCAAGTCCCCATGCCCCTGCTCCCCCATGCCCCCCTCCACCAAATAGAAAAAGCAAAGAAAGAAAATACCAGTCCTAAATGGTTTAACAGATGAATTCTACCACCACCACACCCCCATACTGAGGATTAAACTGAGCTACATCCCCAGTCTTTTTGAGACAGTATCTTACTGAGTTGCTAAGTTGCCCAGGCTGGGCTTGAACTTGCAATCTACTGGCCTCAGCCTCCAAAAGTGCTTGAGATTACAGGTCTGTACTACCATGAGCTTCACATTTTAACCTTTTTTTTTTTTCTTTTTTGAGACAGGGTCTCATTATGTAGTTCAAGCTGAACTTGAATCACTATGTAGTGCAGGCTGGCCTCAAACTCATGGCAATCTGCCTGCCTCAGCCTACCAAGTGCTGGGATTACAGGTGTATACCACCACACCTGGCTATCACTTTTTTCTTTTTTGGTACTGAGGATCGACTCAGGACCTCAGGTTTGCCAGGCAGGTGCTATGCCGCTGAGCTAAACCCCCGGCCCAATCACATTTTTAATAAGTACATGATTTTACTTGTGCTTCCAGAAAACGAGGGGGAAAAAAGGAAAACTTTTCCTAATCAAAGAAAGATAATATGAGAAAATCCTTTACTTTTCCTATTCTACTTATTGAACAAGAATGCAGAAGTTCTAATCATAGTATTTTTTTTATGTACCTTTTTTTTTGGTATGGGGGATCGAACTCTGGTCCTTGTGCTTTCGAGGCAGGCGGTGGAACCACTGAGCTAAATCCCCAGCTATTCTAATCATAATATTAAGAGATGTATCCAGCAATATACAAAAATATAGAATTCATCCTAAATTTGGCTTATCCTAGGACTCCAGGAATGATTTTCTATTATAAAATCTTCAGATATAATCATTCATTATGCATTTAAGCAGAAAAACTAAATATCAAGGGTTCCAGAAGAGATCCCCGGTACCAAAAGAAAAAAAAAAGAGTTCCAGAAGAGAATTAGATAGTGTTCAACAGCTTTATTTTTTTTTTTCATTTTTTAAAAGCTTCATTATTAACAACTCACCAATTCATGTGTATTGGTATGAAGTTACAACAGGAAACATCAGGTGCAGTTATGGGATTACTAGGCCTCCTAGAGAACCTGTGGTCTGCCTAGTATAGGGGCAGGATAGGGTATGGGTAGGAATAGAAGCACAGTGAAAAGAAAGTGCTGCCTTCTGGAGAGTCTTTGACAGTTTATTTTTATCTTGCCTTCTAGAGACCATGGCGAGCCCAGGGAAAGATAATTATCGAATGAAGAGCTATAAGAACAATGCCTTAAACCCTGAAGAAATGAGGCGAAGAAGAGAGGAAGAGGGCATTCAGCTCCGAAAGCAGAAACGGGAGCAACAAGTGAGTTGATGAGTATTCTCAAAACGTACATTAGGGGCAACAATCCAGCCTCCATTGTTGGCCTTCACCTTGCTCACTGACCTTCCACTTAGGAAAATTTAGCTTAGCTACTTTGTGGGCCAATTATCTAGTTTCCTTTTGTAAAGAAATGTTGGAAGCTTTAAGAAAGGGAGAGCTAGTGCTTTCTCCCCTTTCCATAAATTAGACCAACTCAGACATCATTTTTATCTTTAATATAACATTATACAAAAAAATTTATACAGTAGTTCTAGCTCTTTTTGTCTTTCCTTTCATCATATTGCAGTCAGTATTAGATCTGGCTTTCAAGGTCCAGCTCCAGACCTGGTCCCTTAGGAGGCTTATTCACTATTCTGGGCTGCTTCCCGCCCCGCCCCGGAATCTGTGCTTTGCAGGTGTTCCTAGGACTGAGACTATACTAGTGTGACACCACCTGCACTCCCACCACTTGCCCTTTCCCAGATTGACACTGCTCATGCCTAGACTCAATCACCCATTCTAGTTTTGCCTGTCCTCTTGATATACCATCAGTCTTTTTTTTTTTTGGTATCAGGGATCGAACTCAGGACCTTGCACTTGTGAGACAGACACCGTGCCATTGAACTAAATCCCTGGCCCTTACCATCAGTATTTCAGAGCCTTCTTACCCCTAATTTTTTTTTTTTTTTTTTTTTTTTGGTCCTGGGGATTGAACTTGGGACCTTGCGTTTTCAAGGTAGGCGCCGGCACCACTGAGCTAAATCTCTGGCCTTCATTTCACTTCTTATACTTAAAAAAAAAAAAAAAAAATTTCTTGTGTTGGGAGTTGAACCAAGCCTTGCACATGTCACACATGCACTCTGGCACTAAGCTACACTCGAAAAAAA